CCCAGTGCCTCATGCATGCTGGTACCACTGAGCCACAACCCCAACCCACATTAGATCTTGTGATAGGAAATCTATCATCCTTGCATTCATTCATGAGTTTACCCAAGAGATATTTATTGATTCCCAGACAATATGCTGGGTAAACTTTGTAATGTGCAATGCCTTAACCTCTTGGTAACTAGTATTTTTGATAAAAAGTTCAGCTCTGGGGCTAGGCATGTAGCTAGTGGTAAAGTGCTTACCTAGTATGAGCAAATCTTGCATTCAATCACCAGTAGTGAGGAAAGAAAAAGTTCAGCTCTGACTTCAAATAGTATTGATATTTAAATGTTTTTCTGGGACTGAGTATAGCTCAGTGGTAGAGTGCTTGCCTAGCATGTGCAAAACCCTCTAGTTGATCCTCAGCACCACAATAAATAAATTTCCCTCAAAGTTTACCTTTAAAAAAGATGCATCCTTCATTGATTTAGGGATGTGAATTGTTTGAATTTGAGGCATTTTCCATAACTCTTGCAGCTTGGCTATGTGAGAGTTCACTCTATGTCCATCTGATTCTAACTGTAAACAAGGATATTATGAATTTCAGAAGCAAAAATCCAACAAATTTAATAATATCTAGTTATTTACATGTATTATTATGGAGTAGTAATGTGAGTATTTTATATCGGGTAATTTTTAAGATTTGGTTTTAGAACACAAACATCTTGAATGGACATGTCTCCAAAAAAGAGACTCTAATAGTCAATAAACACATTAAAATATACTCATTATCCCTAATCATTTGGGAAACACAAATCAAAAACAGTGAAATACCATTTCATACCCATTAGGATAACTATCATCAAAAAACATAATAAACCACAGGGAACAGTGACACATACCTATAATCCCAGTGACTCAGGAGGTTGACACAGGAGGGTCACAAGTTCAAGGCCAGCCTCAGCAATTTATGGAGGCCCTAAGCAACTTAGTGAGACTCTGTCTCAAAAAATAAAACGAGCTGGGGATGTAGCTCAGTGGTTAAGCACTCCTGGTTTCAATCCTGGTGCGCGCGCGCGCGCGCACACACACACACACACACACACACACACAAAGAACCAAATACAAAACAGAAAAACAGCAAGTGTTGATTAAGGATAGGAAGAAATCAATAACCTTGTGCATCATTGGTGGGAATGTAAAATGGTGTAGAAACTGGAAAATAAATTGAATTGCCATGTGATTGAGCAATTCCACTTTTGATCTAGCAATTCCAAAAGAAAGCAAGGACATAAACATATTTGGACACACTTATGTTCATAGCAGCCAAGAGAGGGAAGAAACCTGAGTCCATCAATGGATTAACAGATAAACAAAATATAGTATATCCATCCAGTGAAATATTAGGCAGCCAAAACAAACTAATGTATCCACCTAAAACTAATGATACATAAATAAATAATTTTTTTTAAAAAAAGGGAATTCTGACATATGCTACTGTATGGTACCCTGGGAACATTAAGTGAAATAAGCCAGTCATAAGATTAATACTATATGATTTCACATATATGAGATACCTAGAAAAGACAAATTCATAGAAATGATGGGGGTCTGGCTGGAGTCGTGGCTCAGTGGAAGAGCACTCACCTAGCATGCATGAGGCACTGGGTTCAATCCTCAGCACCACATAAAAATAAAATAAAGGTATTGTGTCCACCTACAACTAAAAGTTATTTTTTAAAAAAAAAGAAATGATGGGTATCAGGGGCTGGAAAAAAGGAGAAATAGGGATTTACCATAATTTGATATGTGAAATTTTAATTTAGGAAGATGGCTGCACAACAATTTAATGCCAGTGAACTATATACCTAAAACAATTAAAATGTTAAGTTTATTTCCTGTGCAAATAAGTAAATAAATTGTTACCTAACCCAACAGTTTCTGAATACATTGCTTGGACTGTATGCCCTCAAACAAAAAGTACTCTAAGCAAATACTAATCTTTAATTACTAGGCTTCTTTTTTTGTAGAGGTGTAGATTAACAATTCTGAAGCTACTTCTTATGTATTTTAGGACTAACGAATAATTATATCATAGTTAATGGTAGCCAGGTTTCATACTGTTGGAGAAAAAGTTACCCACGAATAAGGAAAGAGGAGGGCACAGAATGAACTATTAAGTAAAAATACAGAAATAGATATATGTGTGCCATGTAACTAACAAGTTAGGGTGGGGACTTGGGGACCATTCTGCTCCCACGGGCTCCTTGGAGAAATGGCGGAAACAACAGTGCACTATTTTATAGCAAAAAGTAAAATGGGAGGGTTGGAATTTTAGTTCAGTGATGAAGTGTTTGCCTAGCATGCACAAAGCCCTGGATTTGATCCCAGCACCACAGAGAGGAAAAGGGGATAACAAAGTGCTCAAAGGATAATAGAGACAATTTAAAACAGCATAAAAGCCATTTGTAAAGGGTTTACACTGGTTAAATCTCAAATAATCTGAGCAGAAAAACAATGACAGTGAAGGATTTAACTTATTGAATAAAATAAGAATCCATACATTCATAAATAAATACATAAATAAATTCATTTTTTGAAGAGAGAGGAGAGAGAGAGAGGAGAGGGAGAGAGAGAGAATTTTAATATTTATTTTCCAGTTTTTAAGCCACATCCCCAGCCCAATAAATAAATTCATAAATAAATGATACAATAAATACATAAACAGTTGGTAGAGAAAGGAAAACTATTCCTTATAACAGGAAACCAATTGAAAAAATGTAGAATGAGGGGCTGGGGATGTGGCTCAGGCGGTGGCGTACTCGCCTGGCATGCGAGTGGCCCGGGTTCGATCCTCAGCACCACATACAAACAAAGATGCTGTGTCCGCCAAAAACTAAAAAATAAAATATTAAAAAATTCTCTCAAAAAAAAAATTCTCTCTCTCTCTCTCTTTCTTTAAAAAAAATGTAGAATGAGCGGTAGAATTAGAAACATCATCTGTTTCTAGCCATCATAATAATAATGAATTTAGTGCTGGGTGTTATGGCGCACACCTGTAATCCCAGTAGCTCAGGAGGCTTCGGTAGGAGGATCTGATTTCAAAGCCAGCCTCAGCAAGGGCAAAGTGCTGGACAACTCAGTGCAACCCTGTTTTGAAATACAATACAAAAACAGGGCTGGGAATATGACTCAGTGGTTGAGTGTCCTTGAGTTCTATCTCTATAACAACAACAAAAAAAAAAAAGATTAACCCACAGCAAGTGTCTCCTAATGTAATGAACCAAGGTGAACTCAGCATCATTCTGCTGTATTCCTGTGAGAAATGTGAAAAGCTAAATCTCCTCAGGAGGAAAGATCAAACAAACTCAAGTTGAGGGATAGTCTACAAAAGAAATGGCCTGTGTTCTTCACAAATGTCAATGTCAAGAAATACATCTCTGCTGGGCATAGTAATGCCTGTAATCCCAGCAGCTTGGGAGGCTGAAGCAGAAGATCTTGAGTTCAAAGCCAGCCTCAGCAACTTAGTGAGGCCATAAGTAACTCAGCAAGACCTTGTATATGATACTAGGCATGGTGATGCACACCTGTAATCCCAGTGGCTCAGCAGGCTCAGGCAGGACAATTTCGAGTTCAAAGTCAGCCTCAGCAAAAGTGAGGTGATAAGCAACTCAGTGAGACCCTGTCTCTAAATAAAAAACAAAATGGGGCTGGGGATATGGCTCAGTGGTCATGTGCCCCTAAATTCAATCCCTGGTACCAAAAAAAAAAAAAAAAACAAGATCGAAGGCTGGGGTTGTGGCTCAGTTGTAGAGTGTTTGCCTAGCACATGTGAGGTACTGGGTTTGATCCTCAACACTACAAAAAAAAAATTAATAAATTGGGGCTGGGGTTATGGCTCAGCGGTAGAGCGCTTGCCTCTCATGTGCAAGGGCCTGGATTCGATCCTCAGCACCATATAAAAATAAAAGTATTGTATACAACTTACAAAAAAATAAACATTAAAAAAATTAATAAAATAAAGGTATTGTGTCCATCTACAACTAAAAATAAAAACAAACAAACAAACAAAAAACTAGATAGAGTTAACTTTGGGGGAATCTGAATGAAGAGCCTAAACTTTCATGTATTATTCTCACAAATTTTCTGTAAGTCTCAAAGTCAAAATTTCAGAAATGTAATTTATTCCTAAGGTAAATAGTAAAGTGTTAGTAGTAAATAACTTGTTGAAAAAATGGGCTTTAGGGCCTGGGTTGTGACTCAGTGGCATGAGCAGGGTTGAGATCCTCAGCATTACAACATAAAAAGAGAAAGAAAGATGGATTTTACTCATTGCTTTGAAGACTACCAAATTTTAGTTGTGGTAAATCAGATTAAAATAACATCTGTAGCAAGGCATGATGGCACACACCTGTAATCCCAGTGACTTGGGAGGCTGAATCAGGAGGATCACAAATTTGAGGCCAGCTTGGGAAATTAGTATGACCCTGTCCCAAAATAAAAATGGCTGGGTATGTGGCTGAATGATAAAGAAACCTCTCTAGCCCTTTTTATTTTAAGACAGAGACTCACTAAATTGCTTAGGGTCTTGCTAAATTGCAGAGGCTGGCTTCTAACTTGCAATTCTCCTGCCATAGCCTCTAGAGCTGCTGGGATCACAGGCTTGTACCACCACACCCTGCCTTTTCAGAGTTTTTACTAGGCATATATTTGTTGTTTATTTGAATAGAAAAATCCTACACTATAAAAACCTTTCATTATTATTTTGGTATTTGTTTAGAAATTTGCTTTTTTTTTTTTTTTTTTTGTATCAGGGATTGAATCCAGAGACACTCAACTACTGAGCTACATCTCCAGCCCATTTAATTTTTTTTTTTATTGAGACAGGGTCTCCCTAAGTTTCTCAGTTGTCCTCAAACTTGCAATCCTCTTGCCTCAACCTCCTCAGTCATAACATCACATGCCACTGTACCTGGATGCTTTTAATTTCTTTTAAATTATTTTTTATGGTTTAATTTTTTTAAAATATGGAATGCTTTGTGAATTTGCATGTCATTCTTGCACAGGGGTCATGCTAATCTTCTCTGTATCATTCCGGTTCTAGTATGTGTATTACTGAAGAGGGTACCCAGCTTCTTTTTAAATATTGTCAATCTATCAAATATACCAATAATTAAAATTTTTTAAATTATTTCCCTCCACGTCTGGGTTGTTTTAATCTTATTACTTTTGTTTATTTTTTACATTTTACTATAATTCAGTAAGAATTTTGATGAGGCTAGGCACGGTGGCATATACCTGTAATCCCAGCTACTCTGGAGGTTGAAATAGGAGGCTCACAAATTCAAGGCCTTCCTGGACAACTTAGTTAGACCTTGTCTCAAAACGGAAGGAAGGAAGGAAGGAAGGGAGGAAGGGAGGAAGGGAGGAAGGAAGGAAGGAAGGAAGAAAGGAGCTCAGTGGTGGAGTGCCCCTGAATTCAATTTCCAGTTGGTGGAGGGAAACCCACAAAGTAAAATATATACACAACCATATTATATATTTACATTATGTATATACATATACATATATGGGTGTGAATTTTTTTCCCTAGGTAGTTGTAAGGACTATACAGGGACTATGCCAAGGAAAAGCAAAGAGAATCCAGGTTTACGCATCATTGAATTTAAATCAAAAATTTAAAAACTGGGGCTGGGATTATAGCATAGCAGTAGAGTGCTTGTCTGGCATGTGTGAGGCACTGGGTTGGATTCTCAGCACCACATAAAAATAAATAAATAAAAAGATATTGTATTGGGGCTGGAGTTGTGGCTCAATAGTAGAGCACTTGCCTAGCATGTGTGAGGCCCTGGGTTCAATTCTCAGCACCACATTTAAATAAATGAATAAAATATCCCCAGACAAGAAATATTTTGTGGACTTTGAAGCTGTTCAGTTTAGAACTTCTTCTTTCCATCCATGTATAAAACCCAGGCTGTGCTCTGCAACCATCAGTTCTGAACACAGCCCTTTTAGAGTTTATGGTTAATTTTTAAAATATTTGATGTCAGATAGCTTTTAAATTTTTTTTTTTTCAAGAATGAAAGGAGTAGGATTTTTTCAAGTGAGATGACTGAAACAGAACTCTTGAAGGGGTAAGAGGGAACCCCAGGTAAGGATTGCCTTGAAAAATCTTAAAGACAGTTTACCAAAGATGCTAGCAAAGTCTTATTTTAAAAATTCCATTGCCTAAGTAGTTACAGGCAAACTGGTTTCTCTGAACCCTGTTATTTGTGTCATCTGCTCTGTATGCACTACTCACCAGTACCTTTGGAATTCTGATAATAAAGTCCAGCTGATCTGTTAAAAAAGGATATAAATAATATGTAATATTAGCTTTATAAGCACTAAAGAATGTAAAGAATGTATTTCAAATGAAAAGGATAGTATTATATATGCTTTTTGCTTTTCATGTTTCCCTCAGACTATCTTGCAAAATTTTCTCTTGCAAGTCTGCTTAAAACCTAATGGCTCCAAGCTTTTTCCAAAGTGAATTATCAGAAATTTCTACCGCACTTTAAAGGACTTGTTTTAAGCTAGATTTGGTCTCTTATAGTTTCTTATTCTAATTCCTACAGTGAGCTCAATTAAGTAGTTTGGATTTTTCTGTTATTCATCCCATTTCCTTGCTCTTTAATAAGGTAATTTGGTTACTGAAAAGACTGTCCTTTGAAGAGTAAGGTGTGCTGGAACTGATAAATTAGTCTGTAATGTTTCTAATTTCGTAAGAACTCTTTTTGACTTTTTCTCAAATTAAGACAAAACCTGCTCCCTTCCTACTTCCTGCAATTTATTCAATGACCATGAGTTTACTGATCTAACATACTTAGGATTCAGCACTCAGCCAAGCACTGTGAAGAAGAGGAAAGCACACAACCTCATCCCACCTCTAAGAAGTCTTTAAATAGCACCAGATATTTAAATAATAATAATAATGCCAGTCACGGTGGCGCACACCTGTAATCCTAGCTAAGCCAGCGGCAGAGGTAGGACTGCAAATTCCAGACCAGCACAAATTAGCGTGACTCTGTCTCGAAATAATAAAAAAAGCTGTGGATATAGCTCAGAGTCAGAGCGATTACCCAGGAAGCACGAGGCCTAGGATTCCATTCCCAGCGCCGCGCGGGTGAGGAGGAGCAACCCGTGGCTAAGGGTGCAGCTGGAGCCTGGACCATGGGCTGAACTGTACTGTAAACCGCGAGCAGCTCTCGCTTTTAGGGAACAAAGGAAGGATGGGATAAGGATAGCCTCCAGCAGTGACTTCAGTATCTCAACTATCTTCATCATCATTGGTTATTACAAGCTCCCATCTAACAGAATGGTGCTTAATGTCAAGGAACTGGCTTATTGACTTGAAAGCCCTCCGGACGTTTACTGCCTACTCAGCTCCCCGCAATTTTCCCAGAAAGTTTTGCAGCGCCCTCTCGGGGCAGAAAGATGCACGCACGCAGGCGACTGTCGCAGTGATCAGCGTTCAGTCACTGCACAAAGCCCCTCCCCTAAACAGCGAATCAGCCACCATTATTTTCCATCCTGGCCACTTTAACAAAGCTTCTCCCCTCCCCTCACTTCACTGCGCAGAGGACCAGTACAAGAGCAGAGCTGCCAGCCCCCACCCGTCCCCTGCAGGGGCTAACGCTCGGAGCCGAACCCCCAACCCTCGGGGCCCGCAGCCTCACCCGCTGCCGCCACCCCCGGTCCCGGGCACAGCGGGCGGCTTTGCGGAATTGCTGCACTCGGTCCAGTGGGACCCGGGACCCCGGCCCGGCATCTCCGCGGTGCCGCGACCGCGAGCAAAGTGCGGGAGCAAGCTTCCCTCTCTCCCCTCCCCCGTCGGCACGCGTGCGTCAGGCCGGGAGATATTGGGGTGAAAAAGAGGACGACGCCGAATTCTAGCCCCTCCGACGCCGTGCGGACGCGGCCCGAGTAGCGTCGGGAGAGAGCGAGGAGGGCAGATCCACAACTCCGGAGTTCAACTGGGGGAGGGGCGGGAGTCCTTTAGCTGATCGAGCGTCTGCAAGTTAGCATCTTTTTATGGAAGGGACGCGTCACAGGGAGGAAACTTAATTGCTCCTTAAAACAAAAGGTGTCCTCCACGTCAGCGTTCCAGACCCTCAGCAAATTTGCAAATCTTGGGTGTCACCATGTAAGTAAAATCATGGACCACGGCATCAGGCGGAGGGATGCTAAGTGATATCCGTTATCCGTTATCCCCCAGGCAACCAGGGTTGGCAAGTTTCCCAACCGCCGATTTCTGCCCACTGCTTCTGCGCATGCGCAATGCCCTCGCCGCGTTTCTTCAGGACGCGTTCCTCTTGGTATTTGGTCCGCGGAACTCTCCGTAGTCAGAAGTGTGGCGGAACAAAAGGCGTAAACGGACTGTTGATTGCTATTGGTGGGCGCTTCGTGTTCCCGGAACTCAGTGGGCGTCGCGCGAAGGCTGAAGGGAGTGTGGCGGAGGGTCCCGGGAAACCCGAGAGCCGCCATGCCTCGGTATGCGCAGCTGGTCATGGGCCCCGCAGGCAGCGGGAAGGTGAGGAGAGAGAAGTCGTCGTTCGTGGGTGGCCAGGGATTCGGGAAGCGATGGAGCCGTCGGCGGGTGTGCGTACTAAGGACCCTGAGACCCTGGGTGCCCCGCTTCTCTGCTTCAGTGTCCGTTTTGGTTTTGTTGGGAAAAGATGGTAGTTGTTAATCTTTACTGGATACTTTTGCACTAGCCACCTCGTTTATTTTCACGGAAACCCGGTGAGATAGATCCTATAGCCCTCCCTACCCCCCACCCACTTTACAGGTAAGGGAAAACGAAGACACAGAAAGGTTAAGTTCTTTGCCCAAGGTCGCTCAGCTAGTAAGTTGTGGCCAGAATTTAAATCCAGTGCTGTCAAACGCCAGAATCTGGCCTTGTCTCAGAGCCACCGAGGTTAAAACAGGGTCTTTACTGTTCTTTACTGTCGGAACATGGACTTTTGGTGATATCAGGTGGTGTGAGGACTGCATATTAGGGAGCGTTGGGTCATATACTGGGAAAGTTGTTCCCTTTTCAATTCTTTCAGTTCTTCACTTTGTAGTGAGGTGAGTTTGTATTTGGCCCTAGTGTAGCTTCAACTCTCACTTAATCTCAGTCTTTTTTTAAAGTATTTTTTTAGTTGTAGATGGTCACACACCTTTATTTTATTGATTTATTTATATTTTTATGTGGTGCTGAGGATTGAACCTAGTGCCTTACACGTGCTAGGCAAGCGATCTACAGCCCCTACCCCTAATCCCTCAGTCTTGGGGAAAGGGCAGATTTTAGATTCAGAGCTTTTACTAGGAAACAGTATTTGGCTAAGATTGTAAGCATTGAAAAGTTGTATGTAAATGGGCCGTGGGGGTACATGCTTGTAAACTCAGTTGCTTGGGAGGCTGAGACATGGGGATGGCAAGCTCAAGGCCAGCCAGGGCAATTTGAGGACTCCTTGTGTCAAAATAAGAACCAGGTAGATAGATCCTATAACCCTCCCTACCCCCCACCCCCCGACTTTACAGGTAAGAGAAAACGAAGACACAGAAAGGTTAAGTTCTTTGCCCAAGAAAAGCTTGAGCTTGCCATCCCCATGTCTCAGCCTCCCAAGTAACTGAGATTACAAGCATGTACCCCCACGGCCCATTTACATACAACTTCAATGCTTACAATCTTAGCCAAATACTGTTTCCCAGTAAAAGCTCTGAATCTAAACCAGGTAAGGTACCACATGCCTGTAATCTCAGCTACTGAGGAGACAGGCAGGAAGATTACAGGTTTCAGGCCAACCTGTAGCAGTAAGAATCCGTCTCAGTAAATAAAAAGGGATGGGGCTGTAGCATGTGCAAGGCTCTGGGGTCAATCCCTAGTACTGTGGGGGGCAGAAGAAAAGTTGTATGTAATTTTATACCTTCATCCTTATGATAAATATAATTGGTTTCCATTTATAATAATAGCACAATTTTTCCTTGTAAACAGATTTAAGCAATAATGTTAAGGGCACTAAAATATAGTAGACATGGTGTCGATCAAATAACATAAGTGGGAAAAACACTAGAATCTTGGAGGTGTTGTGTGGCTTCAGGCTTTAATTAACATGTTCTGAGCCATTGAAATCTTGATGTTCCCTCCTCTTGGAATGTTCTCGTGGGTTGGCAGGCTCATTCCTCTGTGCTCAGATATCCCCTACTCAGAGACATCATCCTTGACCATCCTACCCCAAAGCTTCATTTGGACTGTATGAGTCCTAGAAGAGATACTATGTGTTAGATGCCGCACCATGTAATCAGAAATCTTCCCTTAAATTCCACTTGTTGGGCTGGAGATATAGCTCAGTTGGTAGAATGCTTGCCTTGCATGCACAGGGCCATGGGTTCAATCCCCAGCACTACCACCACTACCAAAAAATAAAAATTCTACTTGTTGCATGTTAGATCAGTAAGGAGTCTTAGTGATCATGGAAAACATCTTAGAGATGAGAAAATTGAGGGGCAGAGTGAAGTGTTTCCCAGGGTTACCAGAGAATCAAGACCAGGTTTGGATCTGCAGCCCACACAGGTGTCCTGATTCCTAGTCCAGTGCCTTTTCTTTTGTTTCTAGCTATAATCAGGGTTGATGAAAGCATAGGTTTGACCTTAGTGGATCTTGTCCCAGAGAGTCTGGAGAAACCTTTTATGGGTGTGGAGGGTATCGCTGCATTGCCTGTTGCTCTAACCCATTGTATCCTGTGACACTGCAGAGCACCTACTGTGCCACCATGGTCCAACACTGTGAAGCCCTCAACCGGTCTGTCCAGGTGGTCAACCTAGATCCAGCAGCAGAACACTTCAACTACCCTGTGATGGCTGGTAAGTCCTAGCACAGCCTTCCCTTCCTTCAGGAACAGTAAGGGTGCTGGCTGCTTAGCACAGAAACTGCTTTCGAGTGAACAACATGAGGCTGTCATTTGGCAACATGTGTTCATGGTGATGTGTGTGATGGTAGCCTTTTTTGGTCCTTAGTTAAGACTTAAAAGTGAGTGGACTTCTCTCTTATTTCTTCCCTTCTGTCCCCGCTTGGCTAGACCTGTTATGGTAAATCTACAGTAAAGCTTATTAGGTTGTAGCCAACAAAAGGAACTCAAGCTAGCTTAAATAAAGAGGTCAACCTTAAGTAAAAACTTCTCACTTATACTGGAGGTACAGATATTTGGGTAAGCAGCATTTGGATTCATAAAGCCCAGGACTGGATGAGCTCATGTTGGGAGGGAGACAAGGATCCAACACTCAGCCTTGACATTGTCTTTTCAGAGGTCCAGTAGAGGCAGTTGATGTCAGTAAGGCAGGAGGGAAATATGACTTTATAACAGCCAGGAGAGAATGTTTCAAGAGAAGGTGGTTGGTAGTGTCAGGTACAGCTGAGAAGCTGTGTAAGGTGAGGACACAGCAATGGCTGTTATATTTGGGAACACACATTTTGGTGACTTCGATAAATTATTTCAGTGGAGTGGCAGGGATGAAAGCAGACTGGACTGGTCTCAAGTGAAATGCAGGTGACCTGTGCAGACTCTGAGAGGAGAAACTTATTGAGGAGGTTTTGCTGTGAAAAGTAGCTGAAATGAAAATTCTTTTTCATTCTTATTTCTCATAATGACATGTTTGATCCTTGAGAGTGGCTGCAGGTACAGTTGGGGAAGGCAGTTTGAAGAGAAAAGGGATGTGGGATAATCCTCTTCCTTGAGAAAAAGGCATTGCGTTACTTTGGGATCATTTGGTTAAGCTCTCAAGCTAGCTTAAGTAAAAAAATGTGTTAGGAGACTTAGGGGGCCACTCACAAAACCCAAGAATAAGATTTTATGACAAGTTAGAACCCAAAACTCAACCAAGGCCAGCTTTCTGGCTGTTTCTGATATATTTTCTCTTCCTTATGGACCAGCTTTCTCTGCATCAGGATGCATGTTGCCCAAAGAGGTCCCCAAGTTCACATCACTCTCTGGTCCAAGTGTTTTACTGACTGACTAGTGTCTCCTTAGTTTATCTTCCTAGAAGATCAGTTTTATTGTCCAGTCTTAGGTTGGCTGTTTATTCCTGAAGTAGCAGTTAGGAAGGTGTTATCACTATAAATGTGCTTGTGAGCTGGACTCAGTGGCACACACCTATATTCCCAGCAGATCAGGACACTGAGGCAGGAGGATTGCAAGTTCAAAGCCAGTATCAGCAATTAAGCGAGGTCCTAAGCAACTCATTGAGACTTTGTCTCTAGTAAAATACATAAAAGGGCTGAGGATCTGGCTCAGTGGTTAAGCAAGTGCCTCTGGATTTAGTCCCAGTACCAAAAAAAAAACTGTGCTTGTGGATGAAATATCTGTTCAAGAGAACTGTGAACAGAAATTATAGGTTTGAGCACATAAATAAGTAAAAACCTAAGGTAGAAAATTATGGATATTGATTTCTGAAACTTAAGATAACATACATATACCAGAATTTTTAAGTCCTTCCTATAGGTGATTTATTTCATATAATTCTCATCCTTCTATCCCAGGATGTGTGATTCCTATCCCATCTCAGCAAAAGGAAAATGAGGCTCAGGGAGGTTGGGTAGCTTGCCTAGGGTCATCATGTTAAGAGACTGTTGGGTTTTTTTTGTTTTACTTTTTTTGAAGTAGGTAATAACATATTTACATGATTCAAAATACAAAAGGTACAAAAGAATAAGCGTACAAATTTGAAAATATCTCCCTCCCAGCTCTGTCCCAGCAACCAAAACCCCCTCCCTGGAGAAAACCAATATTTTCAGTTTCCGTTGTACCCTTCCATAAATAGTCTATGTATGTATTTTTTTCCTTTTTTTTTTTTTTCAGAATTAAGGATTGAAAAAAGGGCACTTTACCACTATAGCTACATTCCCCAGCCCTTTTTATTTTTTATTTTTTTTAAAGTTTTTTTTTTTTTTTTTTTTTTAATATTTATTTATTTTTTAGTTTTCGGCGGACACAACATCTTTGTTTGTATGTGGTGCTGAGGATCGAACCCTGGCCGCACACATGCCAGGCAAGCGCGCTACAGCTTGAGCCACATCCCCAGCCCCCTTTTTATTTTTTGAGACAGGGTCTCACTAAGTTGCAGAGGCTCTCCCCTTACTTGCGATTCTTCTTCCTCAGCTTCCTGAGTCACTGGGATGACAAGTGCACATCCCCAGCTTGATGATATTCTTTTTTTTTTGTTCGGGGTGGGCTGAGGTGGGGTGGGGTACTGGGGATTGAACTCAGTAGCACTCAAACACTGAGCCACATCCCCAGCCCTATTTTGTATTTTATTTAGAGACAGGGTCTCACTGAGTTGCTTAGCACCTCGCTTTTGCTGAGGCTATCTTTAAAGTCACAGTCCTACCACCGCAGCCTCCTGAGTCTCTGGGATTACAGGCGTGTGCCACTGCGCCCAGCATTGATGATATTCTTGCACAGAGTTCTGTGTCTTGCATTTTTCACTTAATAACATACCTAAGAAATTATATTAGTACTTAAAGAGCTGCATAATATTTCACTGTGCCATGTCTAGCTATACCTTAATTTATTTGCTCAGTTCCCTATTGATGGACACTTCTGCAGTACAAAACCATGTACATAAATAACTTTATATGTATGATTTTGAAAATTAATCATTATTATGGTGGTGGGCAATCATTTTTGAGTGGATGCTTAGATTTAGGGCTTGTCTGCCTTTTTTAGACATCCGGGAACTGATCGAGGTGGATGATGTGATGGAGGATGATTCTCTAAGGTTTGGTCCCAATGGAGGATTGGTATTTTGCATGGAGTACTTTGCCAATAATTTTGACTGGCTAGAGAACTGTCTGGGCCATGTAGAGGACGACTACATTCTTTTTGATTGCCCAGGTAAGTCAGCAATTTGAATGTGTTGTTTTCTTGAGGCTGTGATAATTGTGACCTCAGCAGAGGTATAGTATAGTATAGTATTTGTAGCTACAGACTGTACCCAAGCTCGGGCTGGGGCTGTAGCTCAGTGGTAGACGCTTGCCTCCACAGGTGAGCTACTGGGTTCGAACCTCAGCACTCCATTAAAATAAATAAATAAAGATATTGTGACCATCTACAACTAAAAAAAAGAAAGAAAAAAACTAAAAAATAAGTTACCAATCTCTTGTTGTCTGTCATTATTCATCGAGTTCATCAAGTGCTTGCTTTGTATGCCCAGAATGTCATAGACAGCAAGGGAGCCATGGGCTCTGCTCTCATGGAGTCACAGTCCAGTGGAGTGTAAGACAGTGTAACCAGAATCACCCCACCTATTGTGAGTCAGCATCCACATATCAGAGAGAATATTTGGCCTTTGGTTTTTTTGGGATTGGCTTGTTGCATTTAGCATAATAGTCTCCAGTTCTATCCATTTACTAGCAAATGCCCTAATTTCATTATTTTTTAAATTTTTTTAGTTGTAGATGGACACAGTATCTTTGTTTATTTATATGTGGTGCTGAGGATTGAACCTAGGACAATTTCATTATTCTTTATGGCTGAGTAATATTCCACTGTGTATATGTACCACATTTTCTTTATCCATTCATCTGTTGAAGGGCATCTAGGTTGGTTCCATGGCTCAGCTACTGTGAATTGAACTCACTTTTTTGATTGGCAAAAAAACTGAAGTGTGCCTGGGTGTGGTGGTGCATGCCTATACTCCCAGCTACTCAGGAGTATTGAGACCAGCCTAGGCAATTTAATAAGACCCTATTTCAAAATAAGAAGGGCTGAGTTGGGCATTGTGGCCTGTAATCCCAGTGGCTGGGGAGGCTGCGGCAGGAGGATTTTGAGTTTAAAGCCAGCTTCAGCAAAAGCGAGGTGCCAAGCATCTCAGTGAGATCATGTCTTTAAATAAAATACAAAATAGAGTTGAGGATGTGGCTCAGTGGCTGAGTGCTCCTGAGTTGAGTCCCCAGTTCAAAAAAAAAAAAAAGGGAGGGGGCTGGGGGGCGGTTTAGTGGTAGAGTGCCACTGGGTTCAATCTCTATCTAGTACCCACCTCATGCATACTCACATACCAAAGTGTGAAGAATTTTATTTTCTACATAAAACTGGGTAGTCTGTTTGAAATTTGCTAAAATTCATCTTAAGTTTTGTGACTACTCTGAAAGACTATAAGACCTCTTAAAAATTGAATGTATTGTTACTCAGGACTGACTTCCCCATCTTTGGGGACAATTTATGTTCTCTCTGTGATGAATTACCCTATTCCTGATTGTACTGTTCTCATGGTGTTCTTCCTGTAGATTGTACTGTTCTCATGGTGTTCTTCCTGTAGGTTGTACTGTTCTCATGGTGTTCTTCCTGTAGGTCAGATTGAGCTGTACACTCACCTGCCTGTGATGAAACAGCTGGTCCAGCAACTGGAGCAGTGGGAATTCCGAGTGTGTGGAGTTTTTCTTGTTGATTCTCAGTTCATGGTGGAGTCATTTAAGGTCTGAGGATAAATCTGTTGAGAATTTTTCAATCACGAGTGTAAACGGATGACTATCCCTTTTGATTATTGTATGATTCTGGATATTTCACAGACTATTTCAGAGTCACTTAATATTTGTTAAATTATTATGCTGATATATTTAAACTCAAAAATAGTAAATGATGATTCAGAGATTTTAGGGAACTGTTTATTAAAGAAAATTGAGACAGATGGGTTATTTTTTTAAATAATGTTTTTTTTTGTTGTTGTTGTTTTTAAGAGAAACCAACAGCAACCTGCTTTTAATAACTGCAAGAATAGGGTAGAGTGCACCATTCCTGGACGTACTGTGTTGATGCCTGGAGTGGATGGAGAAAGCTCCTATTCCATCTCCCTGCTCCAAAAATCCATTTCATGTATTATCTGATAGAGAACGTGTCAGATAGTAAACTGATTAAAAAAGAAAGCTACTATACTAATTACACTTGATCTTAGCCAGAAGACCAAGAAGCAGTGAAATAATGTACTTTTTTTTAATACTCTATTTTTTAGTTGTTGATGAACCTTTATTTTATTCGTTTATTTATATGTCGTGCTGAGAATTGAACCCAGTGCCTCATGCATGCTAGGCAAGTGCTCTACCAGTGAGCCACAACCACAGCTCAATAATGTATTTTTAAAAATAATAAAATAGGGGCTGAGGCTGTAACTCAGTGGCAGGGTGCTTGCCTAGCACTTGTGAGGCACTGGGTTCAATCCTCAGCACCACATAAAAATAAACAAATACAATAAAGGCATGATGTCTATTTACAACTACAAAAAAATAAATAAATAAGAAACAACAAAATAGCCTTTTTAAAATTTTCTGAGGATCTCTTGTTCAGTTTATGAACTAAATCAAGATTTATTTATCATTAATAGCTCTTGAGTATTAGATGAGTAAGGAGGTTGATAATACTGTCTAAATTGAGATATGTGATCACTGTAGATTAAAGCCACATCTTCCCTTAGTATCCTCACCTTTGGGAGCTGAGGTTCAATCATCTGATTGAGTGGTCTTTCTCTTTAATATTAGCACATCTTTTACTAGGGCCAGTTTTCTCCCTGGGAGGGAGGAGTAGAAGCCTGTCTATTTGGAGACTTGTTGGGAGCAGTTGATTCATCTTCCCTTTTCTGTTTCCTCCTCCAGTTTATTTCTGGCATCTTGGCAGCCCTGAGTGCTATGATATCTCTAGAAATTCCACAAGTTAACATCATGACGAAAATGGATCTGCTGAGTAAGAAAGCTAAAAAGGAAATTGAGAAGTGAGTTCATTGTTCTTCTGTTCCCATCAGATTTCAGTTGAAGAGACAGACCTTCTGTTTTATGGAAATGAGAGGTTCTGTCAGTCTGTAAATCTAGTTTCCTGATTTATTCTTCCTTTTATTCATCAGACTTCTTCCTCACCTTTTAAAGGTTTCTAGACCCAGACATGTACTCCTTCTTAAAAGATTCGACAAGTGATTTTAGAAGCAAAAAATTCAAAAAGTTGACGAAAGCAATTTGTGGACTGGTAAGCTTTTGAAGTGTAGGGCTTTGGGTTTCTTCCACCTTTCCATGTGTTTGCCCACATCTAGTCAGTGACCTCCTTTCTGGGAAGCACAGACCAACACTACTTCCTGCATAGAGAAGAAGGGTGGGAGGGAGTATGGGCAGGCCTGTCAGCAGTTTAATTTAGAAATAGTTACTATCAGTGGTCAATAAATTAACAAAATATGCCTACTATTTCAAGCCATTTGACAGTTGAGAACTCTTTGTTTTCTTTTTGACATTTCAGCGGGTGTTGAGTTCAGATAAATCCCCTGAAACAGTATGCAATGAAGTGATGAGCCAGTATGTGTGCTCGCTGGTCAGAGCTCAGGAGAACCAGTAACAATTTGTTACTCTTGTCTCTGGCTGTCCCTCCTCTATATCTGAAATATAAATATTTTTAATCAGAAGTACAAATAGTTATAAAAACTCATATCTAAGTTGAAAGTTACATATTTTGCCCAACTTCAGAATGAACCTTTTTTGAAATCTCCTATTTGTAGATTGATGACTACAGCATGGTTCGATTTTTACCTTACGATCAGTCAGATGAAGAAAGCATGAACATTGTATTACAGCATATTGATTTTGCCATTCAGTATGGAGAAGACTTAGAATTTAAAGAACCCAAGGTAATTTCTGATTTTTTTTTTTTTGGTGAAAATATTTGCCAGCACTCATTGACCCCTTACATAACCCAGGCAACTCCTTAGGGTTTTGTCTTAGTGGTAGCAGATGCCTGAGCTTTTCTGGATAATCTCCAAAATTGACATCTGTGCTCAGCAAGTGATGTCAATTTTATTCTGCCTTTTATTTAATTTTTTAAATCTTTTTTTATTTTTATGTGGTGCTGAGGATTGAACCCAGTACCTCACACATGCTAGGCAGGCGCTTTACCACTGAGCCACAACCCCAGCCCTTATTCTGCCTTTTATTGAGGCATTGTTATTGAATTAAGTCTTTGAACTCAGAGCTTGGGGGTATGTACAAAGAGGAGATGAAATCCATTTGAACTTGGGCTGCTCTCACACATCAGTGAAGAGACTAATGATAGTCGTCAGCAGAACACTATCTCAGCAAATTAGCTGAGAATCATTGTGAATATAAATTTAAGTGAGAAATGCTTCTGATGAGATATAAGCACATCAGCTTACCACATATCTGGGAAAATTCTATCAATTATGCCTTTTCTTAACCATTGATGATTACCTATGAGCAACACCTGGAGCTGGTCCTTCCTGGTTCTTAGTTCCATATTGAGCATTACCTGAATAATATGTAAACACATGTGAGGGAAATAAATGAATGTATTTTCTATTTTGTTTTTCCTTTGTGTCAGGAACATGAAGATGAGTCTTCCTCTTTGTTTGATGAATATTTTCAGGAACGCCAAAATGAATGAAGAATTTACTAAAAAGTAACTGTATGTGAAGAGCTTGTGGCCAAATCAGCAGAGAATGCAAATCTTCAAAGGATGCAGTAGTAGACAGCTGCTTTTTTTAATGAAGGAAAAAAAAAAAAAGAATACTTGGCCCTTTATCAGGAGCATGCCTGAGTCAAGTCCTGAGTTAAAAGTGAAATCTTGCCAGACACAGTGGTACACACCCTTTAACCCCAATAGCTGGGAAGGCTGAGATGGGAGGATGGAAAGTTCAAGGCCAGTCTTTTCAGGGCTGGAGTGAAGCTTAGTGGTAACATGAGCAAAGCCCTGAGTGTGAGCCCCATCACTGCAAAAAAAAAAAAAAGGAATCTTTTAGTGGTATTCTAACAGCATCAGTTGAGTTTTTGTTGTTGTAGTTTGGGGTTTTTTTTTGTTTTTTGTTTTTGTTGTTAATGGATATTAAACCCAGGGGCACTTGGCCACTGAGCTACATCTCCACCCCTTTTTATTTTGAGGGGGACAAGTTCTCACTAAGTTGCTGAGATTGGCCTTGTAGCTGGACTCAAACTTGCAATCTTCCTGTCATCGCCTCATGAGTTATTGGGATTACAGGCATGTGCCACCACGCCCAGCATCAGCTGAGATTTTAAATGTCAGAATTGTAAAGAGGGTTGGGGATGTAGCACGGTGGAGGAGTATTTGCCTAGCATGCACAAAGCCTTGGGTTCAAACCCCAGCACTCAAAAAATAAAGGGGGGGGGGGGATGAATGCACATAGATTTGTACATAATATACATTTGCACCTGGGATATATATAATTAAGGACATTCTAACTTTATTTTTTGCTTGGATTTTTGTTAAGGGGGGGGGGGGCGTGTTCTTCAGGGGCATGAATTACTGTAACAAAATATACATTTGTATATCCAAAGGAAAAATCCACAAGGTTATAGGGTATAGATAATGCCATTGATTATCTGTATGTTCTTATTTTCCTACATTGAATATGTGTTATTTGTATAATTAAAAATTAAATGTGGTATGTACTTGGAGCTCTTTCACTTCACTGCTGTTAATATGTTGTTATGTTAGTAGATCATAATTTTTGATACTTTTATTTCAAGCTGTTTTGATTTGAAAACAATTCTGCAATAAATATATTTCTTGTATCATATATACATGAGTTTCTCCAAGGGACAGCCATGAGAATAAACTTCATCATTGACTTCAACTTTATATAATGCCAAACAGCTTCTCAAAATATTGTACCATTTAGGGGCTCAGTGGTAGAGCACTTGCCTGGCATGTGTGAGGCACTGGGTTTGATCCTCAGCACACATTAAAAAAACAAAAAATAAACAAAGATATTGTGTTCATGTATAACTAAAAAATTTTTTTTTAAAAATATTGTACCATTTAGAATTTAATAGTGGGCTGGGGATGTGGCTCAAGTGGTAGTGCGCTCGCCTGGCATGCGTGCGGCCCGGGTTCGATCCTCAGCACCACATACAAACAAAGATGTTGTGTCTGCCAAGAACTAAAAAATAAATATTAAAAAATTAAAAAAAAAACCAATTAGAATTTAATAGTGGGAATAATTTCTACATCATCAACATTATCTTATGTTTTTGAACTTCTTAGTTTTGAGCTATCTACTGTTTGTTAAATAGTATTTTATTGTACTCTTAATTTTAAATTCCTGCTCACTGCTTAGTTTTACAGCTTTCCATGTGTGTCACAAGTCATGTTTTCCTTAACTATGTGTTCATTCTTATGTTCAGAAACAACATATAGTCTAAATGCTAATCTTTCACTAATCATATATGTTGCTAAATTCCCAGTTTCAGCTTAATTAATTCTTGGATATATATTTTGTTTAATAAGATTTTTTCACTTAAAAGTATCTGTGTTTTGAGGCATATATGTGTATGTAGGAAAGAAACAGAAAGGTAGCACTAACCTTTCATTACACTCTTGTTTTCCAGGTGGAACTTGAAATTCACAGCCAAGCAAATTTTTAAATGAGTGAATTTTCCCAAGTGTCAATGAAGGCAGGGATTGTTTTTAGAAATTTAGTTTATAGTTTTTGAGCACTTCAAAGTTTATACATTCCTTGAGTAATAAGCATTCACCAAAGTGCAGACGACATAACTTCTTGGCACATTCATTTGTTTTCAGTTTTTTTTTTTTTTTTTGGTGGTGCTGGGGATTGAACCCAAGGCCTTAGTGCATGCAAGGCTAGCACTCTACCAACTGAGCTACATCCCCAGCCTTTTTTTCAGTATTTCTAAGTTAATTTGTATTAGGTGTGAGTGCAGGCTCTGGGAATGGCAAATCGGCCAATAGATATTTCTTTAGCACCTAGTATAGGCCAGGATCTCTTTCATTTCATCAACAGGCCCAGCGTTCCATTAGTCATTTGGCAACTGATCTGCCAGCTAATTCAAATTAAGACTTGCAACTCAGGTTATATTTTTATTATTCTTTGTTCTGGATAGCAAAAGTATACCTGCAGTGTCAAATTTGATCCATTTTAATTAAAGAACCAAAATGAGAAGACATAGGTATCAGTGTTAGTTTGCTCTTGGCGGCCAGCTAGGGAGTCAGGTGTCTGAATCATAGACTGACCATGTGAGTTATTTTCAAAAGATGAATTTGAGGACTGGGATGTATGTAGCTTAGTGGTAAAGCACTCACCTCACATGCAGAAAGCCTTGGGTTCCATCCCCAGTTTAAAAAAAAGACCTATTTGTGAAGAACATGATGAATGGGCAACATGGGGTATGCTTGGGGACTTTGCTGTAGCCCCTGGAGTGTGGAAAGGTGAAAACACTCTTATCTCTCGGGGCTACTAATTCTTAGAAATTTTGCCCCTTGGGAGGGGAAGAAAGAACCTTTTATTTGCCTTCTTCTTGCTATACCTCCCTGGTTTAGCTTCTGGAGATTCTAATATATCCATGGGGAAGAAAATGAGAGGCTAAATTCTGTTGTGTTCCTCTCTGAATATTGGGGTTGAAAGAATCTGATTTTCCAGGCCTCAGGGATTTTACTGTCTCAGGGGAGCATAATATGACTCTGCACAAATTTAATGAGGTTCTGTGGGTACCTGACACTGAATAAAATGGCAATGCTGAGGGCAGACAAGGCCTAACTTGAATGGGTCTGCCGTGCTGGCCAGTAAGACTATACCTGAAAAAAGGAAAACTGCTAAGGGATGGGAGAGTGGAGAAAGTAACAAATGAGTGATTAATAGGACACTTCTAAAAATACTATTTGGCTAGAGACCCAAATGAGAAATCAGATGTGGGAATAAGAGACAGAATATTTCAATCTTAGGGGCTGGTAGAAAAAATGGTTCCCAGACAGCAATGAATTTTGCTTTTCACAAGTGCTTTCTAGTAATGAGTTTTCACTATGCTCCAGGCATGTAAATTCTAAGCATTTTTCAGGTTATTTCATTCTCACAAAACAATGAGAAATACTGTCTCCATTTTCAAGTGAAGAACAAAGGCACAGAGAGGTGAATTAACTTGCCCAGAATTAGCTAGTACATGTTGGAACTGGGACTTTAAAACCAGTGTCCACTTCTCAACCATCACACAAAGAATGGCAGAAACTATACACAAATCCCTTCTTCGCTATGCTCTTCAATTTCCCCATTTTAAAAATGTTTTTATTAAGCCAGGCGCGATGGTGCACACCTGTATTCCCAGTGGCTTGGGAGGCTGAAGCAAGAGGATCCTGAGTTCAAAGCCAGCCTCAGCAATCTAGCGAGGCCCTAAGCAACTTATGGAGACTCTGTCTCTAAATAAAATATAAAAACGGGATGGGGATGTGGCTCAGGGGTTAAGCGCCCCTGGGTTCAATCCTTGGTACCAAAAAAAAGAAAGAAAGAAAGAAAAAGAAGAAGAAAAGAAAAGAAAGTTTTTATTAGTGCATTATACTTAACACATAATAGTGGGGATTTGTTCTGATATAATTTAGCTTGCTTCATTTCAGTCGCCAAGCTCTTCCTCTTTCCCTCCCCAACTTCCCTTTTTTGAAGGCAGTCGGTGGAGTTCATTCACTCAACAAATATTCACCGATGCTTACAATGTACAGTGACTGTCACCGGGGCGGGGGATACCAGTGAACAAAGCAGACAAGAGCCCTGCCTTTTTAACATTTACAAGGGTGGGGCAACAGACGACATCAAAAGGAAACGCAGAATCATAAAACTGAGGGGAAAAGGTTTTCTCACTTAAAGCAGGGGGTTGGAGTGGGGTTGAATTTGAAAGTGTGATTAGGGAATTAATTCTTCACTGAAAAGGTGAGCTTTAAGGAAAAACAAAGGTGATTAGTCCCAGGGATACCGTAAGCCTCAAACACCTCCCTGGTCGGCACGCGCTTTACACATGCGCGGTACTCAGAGCCCCTGCCCAGAGTTCGGACGCCCCCTGACGCACCTTCTGATCCGTACAGCCGCAGCAGTCGGCGGCGGGAGGGCAAGGCCGGAAACGTCACGTCCTCCTCTTGCCCTCCCCTTCCGGCTCACTTCCGCCTACTCCGCCCTGGTCCCCAGACCGGAAGCGCCGCGCTTTAACTAGATCTTGCTCCTCTGAGTCCAAACCCCGGCGCCGCCAAAATGCCGGTAAGGGTTCGATCCCGAGTTGTGGGGACACAGTGGGTGTTGGGGAAAGCGACGGGAAGTCGTGCGCGTGCTGAGAAAAGCGGGAGCCTGAGAAGGGGAGAGGCGAGGAATGGGACCAGTCTCTTTAGTGTTGGGGCGGCCGGGGGTGTTGGCGTGGGGGGGCGCGGGGCGCGGCAGTGTGGCCTGGCGGCCGGGCGAGGGAGGAGGCCGCCTGCACCCTTCCCGGCCCCTTCTCTCCAGTCCCTGCCCCTTCCCTCGCCCCTCTGCTCCCCCTGAGGCCAGCTGGGTCCGGAAGACTCACTGCGGCCGCGAATAAAAAGACTACGCTTTTTATTTTTCATTTTTCAAGCCCAGAGTCCAGCTTCTTTTTTCTGCCAGCGCCAGTTCCTCCTCCGCCTTAGGGGGCGGGTCCCGCCTGCTGCTTGTCATCTGTCAGACCCCACTTCCCGGACTACCCTATCGCCCCCGCGTGGCGGCCAACTCCGATCCAGCTGGGTTGAGAAATCCTTCGCCTCGGGGTCGGCTTTGGTTTCCAGGTGTTTCTTTTTTCGTGTGCATGAGGATAGGAGTGAAAATTGATGATGGCCCCGTTGTCCTGAGGGTCTGAGGGATTTGTCGCCATTGTGGTTTCAGTTTTGCAGATTAGGAAAAAGGTGATTCAGTGACATGCATTACAACAAATGCATCTGCTGAGCATATGCTGTAGGCTGAACACTTCTACAGCAATGAGTGAGGCCAACAAATCTCCACTTTTAAGGAGTTGATAGTCTGATAGGGAGACAGACAATAAAAAAAATTTAGACAAATAGCGGAGTTTCAGATAGTGACAGATGCAATGGAAGAAATAGGTGGATAACAAGACAGTTACTGGTGAATGGGACGGGAGGGCTTGCTTTATGTAAAGCATACCTGTGATGAAAAGGAGCAGGCCATACTTACAGCTATGTATTTCACAAATTCCATAATTATCATTTGACTCCCGGACCAGAGCTACACACTTCATAAAGTATTCTTTTTGCTCTATTATTATTATTATTGTTATTATTACTTAGTGGTTATATATAGTAATTGGGTTTCTGTTTAATTCTTAATTGAACACGATGGAGTTTTATTTAGTCATAAAGAAGAACAAAGTTGGGGCTGGGGTTGTGGCTCAGTGGTAGAGCACTTGCCTAGCACGTGCAAGGTGCTGGATTCCATCCTCAGCACCACATAAAAATAAATGAATAAAATAAAGGTATTGTGACCAACTACAACTAAAAATAAATATTTTTTAAAAAGAAGAACAAAAGTTATATAATTTGCAGGAAAATGGATGGAACTTGAAAGCATTATATTAAGCAAAATAAGCCAGACTCAAAGTTAAGGGGAAGGGAGGAGAGAAGGGGAAAGAGGAAATACTGGGGAATGAAATAGACTAAATTATGTTATGTGCCTGTATGAATATGTCATAATGACTCCCTTCTATTATGTGTAATTATAATACACCAATAAAAATTTTTAAATAATAAATATCAAAGTGACCTTATGAAGTAGATACCATTATTGTTTATTTTGCAGAAGAGGAGACTGAGGTCCACAGAAATTAAATAACTTTCACACTAGTGGTAAAGCAAGATTTTAAGCCAGAACTGTAAAGCTCTGGGCTCATTCCAGTTATGCATAAAGCATCCTGGATTTCTCTGTGTTATTTATTTTGTATCTGCTTTCTCCATTAGCCTGAAAGTTCTTTAAGAACGAGTACCACACTGGTCTTATATCAACTGTATCACTGTCCCTTGCACATAGAAGATGCTTAGTAATCATTTGGTGAATTAATGAATCTATGAATGGGTATGTTGTCTTTTAAAAAGCCAGACATCTTTAAAAAGCAGAAGTAGGAGTCAGCATTCAAATTGCTCTCACAGGTACTCTTTTTCCCTCTCCTTTAACTCACACCTCCCCACTAAAGGTGGTGCATATCACTCATCATACACATTTTACAAATTTGGAAACAGGCTAAGGGAAGAAAAGTGATGTTTTTATTGAAGTCATAAAGCCACGAAGTAGCAAAACTGAAAAGGTAGTACTGGGTCCTGGTTTAACTGGAGGGTGGGTACCCTGATATATTCTATTTGCCTCTTTCTCTAATGAAAATATTTCCAGCAGTTATCACTGTGATGTCACTGAATAAAAAATTGGAAGACATACTCAGTAGCATCCTATCATACAGTATTTCTACTACAAAGATAGAAAAGGCCTAAAAAACCCTGAGAACATAGACAATAGTAAAATGTAATTTTTTAAAATTGGGAAGTGGTTGAATACTTATTGTTTTTGTTTTTAAAATATAATTAATTATAAATTTACAAATTTAATTTTTGACTGTGTTTAATAACTACTTGCATAATTCCTCAGAATTTAACAATTGGTTTTCAGTCAGTAAGAGCCAGCTCCAGCACATTGCTGCTGCCATCCCTTCTTCTTTTCCTTTGGAAGAATGTATTTGTCATCCCAGTGACTTTGCTATCTTTCTGTTTCTGTTTTCTTACCTGGCTTGCCACTACAGGCTTACCACTCTTCCCTCATGGACCCCGACACCAAACTCATTGGAAACATGGCCCTGTTGCCTATCAGAAGTCAGTTCAAAGGACCTGCCCCTAGAGAGAGTAAGTCTAAACCATTATTTTCAAATTTTGCTATGAAATGCCTATACTTCTGACATTAAATCTGGGAAATTCAGAACCTAGTCCTACCTCAGATTGTTCTCTTCCTTCTGTTTGCTTGGTGGGTGTTATATTTTTCAAGACTGAGGTTGTATGTTGCATTTAATAGGAAACTATGTTATTCTAATTTCTCTGGAATATTTTGTTGAGAGAAAATGTGCTTAATTTTGGGAACTGTTCCTGCAATCACTGTCAGTCTTTTTATTTGGGTAAGGAGGTGGGGTAACTGGGGATTGAATTCAAGAACACTCAACCACTGAGCCACATCCCCAACCCGATTTTGTATTTTATTTAGAGACAGGGTCTCTCTGAATTGCTTAGTGCCTCACTATTGCTGAGGCTGGCTTTGAACTCACTATCCTCCTGCCTCAGCCTTTCGAGCCTCTGGGATTACAGCCGTGTGCCACTGCACCTGGCTCACTATCAGCCTTTTAAACTAATCTAATGCTGCTATCTGTGTTGAACGCCATGTCCTCATCCTTTCTCTGTCATCACAGTGGGAAAAACAAACAACAAAAAGTATTTTAACCTCTTCCCCATCTAAATATTTTTCCTTTGTTCATTCTTCAGGATCTTCATTTTTAACACTACCTCATTCTTATATCTTTTTTTACTTTTTTTCAATTGGTGCATTGTAATTATACATAGTAGTGGAATTCATTATGCCATATTTGTACATGCACATAAGTGATTAATCACATTTTCCAATACATTCCCTTTCCTTCTTCTCCTCCCTCCCCTGATCTGCTTGCTACTCGAAAATATTTTTTTTTTTAATGTTTATTTTTTAGTTTTTGGCAGACATAACATCTTTGTTTGTATGTGGTGCTGAGGATTGAACCTGGGCCGCACGCATGCCAGGCGAGTGCGCTACCACTTGAGCCACATCCCCAGCCCTTTACTCTAAAATCTTAAATATGCTCCATAACATTACTGTGTCTACTCTTTTTTATTTAGTTATTTATTTTAGTTGTAGTTGGACACAATATCTTTATTTATTTATTTTTATGTGGTGCTGAGGACTGCACCTAGCGCCCCACACATTCTAGGTAAGTGCTCTACCACTGAGCCACAGCCCCAGCCCCTATTCTTTTTTTTTTTTTTAAGTGTATTTTTTCAGTTGTATGCGGACACAATATCTTTTTTATTTTTTTCGGACACAATATCTTTATTTTTATGTGGTGCTGAAGATTGATCCCAGTGCCTCATGCATGCCAGGCGAGCGCTTTACCACTGAGCCACAGCCCATTGTATCTACTCTTTTTTGTTTGTTTGTTTTAATATTATTTTTAGTTGTGTATGGACTTAGTGTCTCTATTTGTTTTTATGTGGTACTAGGATGGAACCCAGTACCTCACACTTGCAAGGCAAATGCTTTTCCACTGAGCCACAAGCCCTCTTTTTTTTAAAAAAAAATTTCTTTCTTTGGTAGCTGTTTGGTTTTTTAAGTTGTTTTTGGGTACTGGGAATTGAACCCAGTGCTTTGTGCATGCTAAGCATAAACTCACCCACTGAACTACATTCCCCATCCCACATCACTCTGCTTTTTGAAACATTTCTGCTGTTCAGAAAGCCTCATTCTAGGGCTGGGGTTATAGCTCAGTGGTGGAGCACCTGACTAGCACATGTGAGGTATTGGATTCAATCCTTAGCACCCACAAATAAATAAATAAATAAAGGTATTGTGCTCATCTACAACTAAAAAAAAAAAAATATTTAAAAAAAAGCCTTATTCTGTTTTCAGACACAGATTCTTCTGACACATTCTGAGATGTTCTGCCAACAGTATAATTTGAATTATGTTAGACATGGTTTCCCTACACCCAGCAAGGGTCTGGATTGAGTTCCACTCATGGTTTCTAAGACCATAGTTATAACTACAAGTTTTGTACTGATCCCATCTCCATTCCTCTGCCAGACTATTTGACTTGACCGCCTCTTAATTTAATTCTGTTTTCAACACCAGTTGAAAGCTAAGTAAACTTAATAAATTTGGTGAGTCACCATGGTTTTTGTTTGAGTCTGAGAAAAAAAAGAACAGATGGAAAAATACACAAGAAGAAGACTAATAATATAAAAAAAAAATTACACTCCAAAGAAAGCATAAGAATCAATGTTGGCCCAGATGTCTTGAGAAGAACACTTTCTACATGGTTACAAATACCGTATAGTATATCAGAAGGTACAATAGAACAAGGATGGAATAAATCTACCACCTTTGCAATTCTTGGGCCCTCAAGGGAGATTGAGACCCTAAGAAACCAGATAAATTGAGGGGTGACCTTGTTTCTCTTCCTAAAAGGACTAGATTAATACTAAATTAGAGTGAAAGCCTGTGTTGTGAGCTAAGTAATTTAGCATTAATTAATTGTGAGGCTGGGGTCCTATCCCAGTGTTAGAGCATGTATTTAGCATATGCAAGGCCCTGGATTCAATCCCTAGCATCCCACATACACACAGATTCCTTTATATTCAGCAGATAGCTTTGGAGTGCCTTTTATATGCCAAGCACTCGTCTAGATTCTGAATCATTTTCACTTCCACCACCTCCTATCATTGTGTTTAGAAGAACTAGCTGATAGATTGCAGGGAATATAAGTCTAGAGTTAGAATTCCATTGAAAGTTTTCAACAGAGGAATAAACGGGGATAAAGATAGCTGAATTATAGAGAATTAAAGCTTTGAGGTTACTTTGCATTTCTGTTTATGAGGGATAACAATCATGGACAAGAAGTATAAATAAGTGTCTTGGCATTACTGAAACCAGCTGCTGGATATCAAGACCCTGGTATTTTGACCTTTTTA